TGTGTGTGTGTGTGTGTGTGTGTGTGTGTGTGTGTGTGTGTGTGTGTAAATCCGAAGAGATTAGACCATAGCTTAACTCATTCTGATTTGGGCACAGCAGAGTTTACCCACATATCAGACATAAAAAAGATACTGTTTGAGATTAAGTAAATGTATTAGAGCATTCCTCCTCATTTCCCCCACCCCAACTCAGCTATGCTTTGTGTGTGTGTGTGTGTGTGTGTGTGTGTGTGTGTGTTAAATGTATGTATCCTGATCCTAGCCACCTCCCATTGCACACACCCCCCCCCAACACACACACTTTTGCCCCTGTCCTGGAGATTAAATACAGGGAGGGCATGGGACACAGGAGGGGAGTGCTCACCACTGATACACATCCCCAGATCTTTTATAATTTTTTTATTTTGAGACAAGGTCTCAAAAATCACTCTGGAGGCTGGAGAGATGGCTCAATAGTCAAGAGTTCCATTCCCAGAGCCTGCTGGGTGGCTGACCACCATCTGTAACTCCGATTCCAGGGGTCCCGTGCCGCCTTCTGGCCTCCATGGGTACCAGGCCAGCATGCGGGGCTCGGGGGATGGCTCAGAGCTTAAGAACAGTTTTTGTTCTTTGCCGAGTACCCTCGGTTCCCAGCACCCACGTCGGGTTCCAGTTCCAAGGGATCCAGCATCACCTTCTGGCCTCTGGGAGCTCCCAGATTCATGTGGCACACACCTACATAGAAAAATGAAATGAAATTAACTTGAAACAAAACAAAACAAACACCTCACTCTAGCGCAGGCATCCTGCTTCCCCATCCTCGTCGCTTCGATGGCAGGTTCCTGCAGAACATATCTGCATTCTACCTACCCTCCCTCCTCTGCCCTTCTGCTTTCCTTATCTAAGCCAGCTATGTTTAAGTGACACAGAGAAGCCCTTCCTGTGCAGTAAGATAGCAGTCTAGAGCCGAGTTCCTCTTAACCCCGGGAAAAGGAAAGCTCTCTGCAGCTTGTCCAGTGTACCTCGCTACTTCATGCCAGCTAAGTGTGGGGACCAGATAGGATTTGTTGGTGCCACGGAGGTCATCCTGGAGCCTTCTGCTTCCATCTCAGTGTGTTCGGTAAGAAAACAGAAATGAACCTGATAGTTTGTGCTTGGTTGAGCCTGCTCTACTGTTTATGTGCAATGGTTTCTTGTGCATTATCTTCTATTTTCTTCTATTTTTCCTCTAAAATTTTTATTTTTTTTTTTTTTAGAGAGTCTTACCATGTAGCCATGGCTGGTCTGGAACTCACCACATAGACCAGGCTAACCTTTGCCTCCTGGGTGCTGAGATTAAAGGTGTGCACAATCGCACCTGGCTCTTTCCCTAACTTTTATTTCTCCTGTCTTAACCCCATGTCTGTTTTTCTTTTTCACTAAATAGTATACATTCTATTTGTCTTTTGCTCTTAATATTTTCATTCGGAAAATAATAAATATTTATGTCATGTATTCCCTTTCATAAAATGACTGTTTCTTCCAACTTCTGATCCTGTTTTTTATTTTTTTCCCCCTTAGTTTGGTTTCTCCAATCATTGATCACATGTACATACATTTATTTGTATTTGTATGTACACATATGTGGATTCTTGTTCGATCCCTCTATCTAAATTTCCCTTCAATTCTTTGAGCCATTCCTCATCACGGCTTGTTTTATCATCCCATAATTATTACTTGATTTGGGTGTCTACTTTTTGCTCATTGTAGATAAATTTTAGTTTCAGGATTTATGTATCTTTTTAAGTACTTCTGGCCAGCTCAATAACGAAACCTCTAAAAAAAAAAAATGGTAATTACTCATCTTAAACATAGAGGTATTTCTTTGTTCAGAACTTGGGGAAGTATGAAGTGTGATCTTGCTCTGGATGACTCTGAAGGCCTGACTTGCATTCACTTTCAAGGCAAATAATTTGTGATATTTAAACTATAACTCACAGCATAGAACTCAGTTTCTCTCATATTGAAATGTTGTTCTCTTTCGGCTTCTGTTATTTTAAGTTGCACTGTCCACTTTGTTGTCGGGACCACAGTTTCTCAGTTATGTGGTCCTTGCAGTAAAAGGTGGTTATTGGATGAGGGGCCTGTGACTCTCCCAGCTGTGGTCATGGGAAAGCCACACAGTCTCCAGAATTTCGACACCAAAAATGCCAAAGTGAAGAGAGACTATGTATGTCTGTGTGTTCTTCTGTTCCTAGTTATCTCTGAGTCGCACTTTTCTCTCAATGGCATGTGCATTACGGCTGGGATGGGACGACAGATCAGAATTGTTGTCATTCGAATTAGGAAATCATAGGACTTTCTCTAAGTTGAGAAAGACAGATATGAGAGAATTGTTTCTCCTTTCTCCATTCTGATGACTTGCTATTTTAACTTCTGCTTACCACATAAGACCTTGTGGCAAACTTTGTTAAGCTCAGCAGAATCACTTCCAAATGTCTGGGCATACATTAAAAAAAAAAAAAAGTAAAGTGTTATTATATCCAGTAATAAATAGAAATTTAAAAGCAAAACAGAAATTTAGAAAGGACAACAAAGGAATTAAGGAAGTCATTTCGGTAAAAGTAGAAATGCTAAGAACTAAAATTTTACAAGTATCTGAAAATTAAAAAAAAAAATTAAACAGGCGGGAGATAGAAAGATCTGAAGGGGACAGGAGCTCTGAAAGCAGACCAACAGAACCAGATAAATTGGGTCCAGGGTTCTTTGCAGAGACTGATACTCCAACCAAGGACCATGCATGGAGATGACCTAGAACCCCTGCTCAAAGGCAGCTCACAGCAGCTCAGTCTCCAAGTGGGTTCCCTGGTAAGGGGAGCAGGTGCTGTCTCTGGCATGAACTCAGTGGCCTGCTCTTTGATCACCTCCCCCTGCGGGGGGGTGAAGCCTTGCCAGGCTACAGAAGAAGAGGATGCAGCCAGTCCTGATGAGACCTGATAGGCTAGGATCAGATAGTAGGGGAGGAGGACCTCCCCTATCAGTGGACTAGGAGAAGGGCATAGGGGAAGAAGGAGGGAGGGATAGTGGGACTGGGAGGAGATGAGGGAGGGGGCCACAGCCAGGATACAAAATGAATAAATTGTGTGTGTGTGTGTGTGTGTGTATAATTTAAACCTGAAAAGTAAGCATTATATTGGTCATCATGGTACATTCCTTATAATCCCAACATTTGGTAAACTGAGACAGAAGTTCTCCAGTTTGAGCCCTGGGCTATGTAATCAGACTTCATCCCAGAAAAACCAAAAGGAAAAAAAGTGACCATTCATATGCTAAATCCCGTGGAACAGGCATTTATAAGCAGGTCTTGTGTTTACAGTCACAGAGCTTAGGGCCACAATAAAAATCATGACAACAGATATAAATGTGCCACCTCATAGAGCATATCAGAAAAGACTGAACAACACGCGTGGCTACACTTTGGATGGACTCCAGAAGACCCTATGCCCTGCCTCACTTACCTCACTTGGGACCAATCAGCTTAAAGGTTAGCTGGTGATGCTTTGTCTAGCTAGCCAAAAACGTAACATTGCTTCGTACGGTTAGCCAAAATGTGTTATTGCCCTCCCCATGTCTTTTGCATTTGGGTCTTTCTATAAAAACCCTGTTGGGAGAACTTGTAGATGTCACAGTTAGGCCCCAAGTCCTTACCGCGGCCCTGATCAATCAGCTTGGAAAAGGCGTCCCAATAAACTGTCCACCCGTATCTAACTGAGACTGGATTCTAAGTGGTTTGTGTGACTATTCTTATGCTAGAACAGGTGACAGCTTAGATCACTATGGAGAAGCCACTTATGAAACATATTTAGGAAGACAGTTGGAAAATAACTGGATAAAAACTTGGTATTCCTTAAATTAAATCTTCCTGTGTAACGTGAGGACTTAAACTGAACCAGTAAGTTTAGTAAGGATTCGTTGAGTCCTTAGCTGCTATCCTGGGTGGCTTTTTCTCAATTTGATACAGGGCTAGAGTTATCTGACAAGAGGAACCTCAACTGAAAAAAATGGCTTATAGAAAGTCTGTGGGTCACTTTCTTGATTAACTTTGATGTGGGGGAGCCCAGCCCACTGCTGTCTCTGGGTATGTCCTGGGATGTACAAGAAAACAGGGAGCAAGCCACCAAACAGTGTTCCCTTGTGGCCTTTGCCTCAGTTTCTGCCTCCAGGTCCCTGCCTTGGCTTCCCTCGTTGGACTATGACCTGGAATATGTAAGAAATAAACCCTTTCCTCTCCAAGTTGCTTTTTGGTCAGTGTTTTATCATGCAGCAGCAGCGATAGAAAGCAGAGAATAAAACTGTGGTGTTTAAATGCCCTAAAGGTAAAAGCAATCCAAATGTCTGTTGTTAGATTACTAATAAGCAAAATGTGCTACACACACACATACACACTAAATGAATGAAACTATGCAAAGCTCAGCTTCTGTACGCTACTGTCCACGTGCTGAAGTTTTCTAAAATCCTTTGATCACTCCAGATCAAGGAGAGACCCAGGGAGTTTTCGTTTGTTTACTCACTTAGGCGTTCAGTTGAGCAGTAGACACTGAGTGAAGTAAGAAGCGGCAGAAATGAGGGACAGAACGTGCCACGGCACAGCTTGGTAAGCCTTCCCATCCTGCCAGCACTCAGAAGTCAGAGGCAGGAGGCTGGAGGGTTCGAATCAGTCTGCTCTCCAGTGCAGTCAGCTGGGAGTTAGCCAGCTGGGCAGCCCGGAGACTCTGCCAAAAAAGCCAAGGGGTGAGGCCGTGTCTCAGAACAGCCCAGCTGTGCAGCCCAGCTGTGCAGGCCCTCCCTTGAATTTCAGCACTGCCAAAAACAAACAAACAACAAAAAACAGGGGAGGTACAAAAAGGTGGGGGGGGGGGACTTAAGCTGATGTGGACTTCTAAATGAAGTTACCTTTTGGATACACATTTAAATCAATATTATAGAACTAAATTGTCTGTCAGAGAAGGCTGTTGTGTGTCTACTCTGAGGAAGGAACCAGGCTCTGTGAGGGCCTCTGGCTTTGAGAGGGTACATCACCATGTAAGGACTCCTAAGAGCACGTATTTTTACAAAGTTACCATGAGCTTTAACATTCTCTTCATCTTTTTGCAGGCTGGGCAATGGAGGCTTTCCCTGCTGACACCAATTCAACTGACCCACACTCACCGCCTTTGCTTAAACCCCAAGACATTCTCTCCACAGTCATTCTGAGCCTCACGTGTTTACTGGGACTACCGGGCAATGGGCTGGTGCTGTGGGTAGCTGGTCTAAAGATGAGGCGGACCGTGAACACCGTTTGGTATCTCCACCTCACCCTGGCTGATTTCATCTGCTGCCTTTCCTTGCCCTTCTCCTTGGCTCACGTGTTTCTCCAAGGACACTGGCCCTATGGCTTGTTCCTATGCAAACTCATCCCATCAGTCATCATACTCAACATGTTTGCCAGTGTCTTCCTGCTGACTGCCATTAGCCTGGACCGCTGTCTGATGGTACATAAGCCAATCTGGTGCCAGAACCATCGGAATGTGAGAACAGCCTTCGTCATCTGTGGATGTGTCTGGGTGATGGCCTTTGTGATGTGTGTCCCCGTATTTGTATACCGTGACCTGATCGTTATGGGCAATCATAGCATATGTGGCTATAATGTTGACTCCTCCATGTCATTTGATTATGGGTACATGTACGATCTACCAGAAAGCAATCCTACCAACAACCCCACAACTCAGCTAAGCGGACAGACGGATGACAGGTCAGATCCTTCAGCTACCACTGCCCTCCAGGCACAAACGTTCCAAATTTCTCCCAACAGTTCATTCCCTTTATATTCAGCAAGACTATCCAGTCAGCAGGCCCATTACAGTGGAAAGCCTCCTAGTGTGCTGAGACCCGCCGCACCCAGCGGGTTTCCCATTGAAGATGGAGAACCCGACACAGGTAACGCCAAGGCTTTTCTCTCTGCTCATACAGAGCTTTCCCCTACCAATTCTAGCAGCTATTTCTACCACCCTGAGCTGTCAAACGATCTCCAGGATGATTACTTGGATCAATTCACCTATAACCATCATGTGCCAGCACCTCTGGTGGCAATAAGCCTCACAAGGCTGGTGATGGGCTTCCTGGTGCCCTTTTTCATCATGGTAGCTTGTTATAGCCTCATCATCTTCCGAATGCGAAGAGCGAACTTCACCAAGTCTCGGAGTAAAACCGTTCGTGTGGCCCTGGTGGTGGTGACAGTCTTTTTTGTCTGCTGGACTCCATACCATATTGTGGGAGTCCTGCTTTTGATTGCCGACCCAGAGAGCAGATTGAGGGAAACTGCGATAACCTGGGACCAGGTGTCCATTGCTTTAGCATCTGCCAACAGCTGCTTCAACCCCTTCCTCTATGCCCTGTTGGGGAAAGACTTTCGGAAGAAAGCAAGACACTCCGTAAAGGGCATTCTGGAGGCAGCCTTCAGCGAAGAGCTCACACACTCTACCAGCTGCACCCAGGACAAAGCCTCTTCAAAAAGAAACGATATGAATACAAAAGTGTGAGGGTGCAGGGCTGGAGACCGAGGTGGACCTTCTCAGGTGAACCCTGGTAAAAGATGCCGTGTGAGCAGGACGCTTTGGACAATCTGGTGGCTCTCGGAGAGAAGTCCCTGACTGTTGACAATCAGCATCATTTGGAAACATTAAAGAGGCAAATTTTCAAGCCCCATCCCAGAGAATCTCTGGCCGGTGGGGACCAGTGTATTAACGGCCCTCTTGCTTGCATTAATGTTAAGTTTTACAATCATTTATTTGGCTTAGTCTATTCCTGTGTCTAACTAAGCCATGTTTGAGGAACAGCTTCCTCGTCTGTTTTCAGCATTACTCTTCTTTCCTTAGCCTGGTCTGAATCATCTTCTAGTTTGCACAAAAGGCTGCTTTTATTGTCCTGTGTAAAGAATATTCATTTATCGCACAGCTTTTGGGTGGTGGTAGTGGTTTTAAGTGGGGAAAGGACACAAAAAGAGAAAGCCGATAAAAGCAGGGAGTGATACGTTAGAGACTAGAACAGAATATAGTGCCAAATGCCTGCTACTGGAAGCATCCTGGGATAATTCTAGTCGTCCAAATTACCCCTGAATGAACACAGATACACATAAACACTTTTCTTGCTCCTGGAGTGTTTTGGAAGCTGTGGTTTGGAGTGCTCTCTTTTCTGTGTGTTATGCTTGTTCACATCTATGTCCCATTTCTTTCTTTTTGTTTTGTTTTGTTTGTTTTTGTTTTCCAAGACAGGGTTTTTCTGTGTAGCCCTGGCTGTCCTGGAACTTGTTCTGTAGACCAGGCTGGCCTTGAACTCAGAGATTCTCCTGCCTCTGCCTCCTCAGTCCTGGGGTTAAAAGCATGCACCACTTCCGCTTTCTTTCTCTCTCTCTCTCTTCCTTTTTTTCTTTCTTTTCTTTCTTCCTTTCCTTTCCTTCCTTCCTCCTTCCCTCTCTCCTTCCTTCCTTCCTTCCTTCCTTCCTTCCTTCCTTCCTTCCTTCCTTTCTTCCTTCCTTCCTTTCTTCCTTCCTTCCTTCCTTATCAACGGTTTTTGAGACAGGGTTTCTCTGTGTAGTCTTAGCTGTCCTGGAACTCACTCTGTAGACCAGGCTGGTCTCCAACTTAGAGGTCCACCTGGCCCTGCCTGTCCAGTGCAGGGATTAAGTTGAGCTCCATCAGAGCCAGGCTACAATGTCCTATATATTAATCTCCTGGCTTCCTTCCTTTTGTTTTCCACACAGGGTCTTGCCATCCCCTCTGGAGTTGTGGTATGCATCGCAGTGCCTGGTCCCCCTTCTTACTTTTCCACATGAAACTTGTGCCTCACATAGGATGAAACAGTACTCTAAAGATGCCTTTCCCCTTCACCCCCAAACTTAGTGTCATATAGGTGGGGAAATAGGATGATGGGTGGAACCACAATTTTTCAGTTCACTCCAGGATCACAGCACCCTCTGACAGTAATACTAAAAGATTTTAAACATGAGTCTGGATATCTTGCATGCCAAAGGTGTCGGGTGCACTCTCTTTGGGATTTTTTTTTTCAAATTAATGTTTATCTGGACCATGGCAATATGAAGTGACATATGCACCCAATTTTAAAGAACCCAATGAATAATGAAATAATAATGAAATACAAGACACCTCTTTCTCCAGGGCACAGTAATTCTCATCTCTCCTTCTTACGTCCAAGAGAAACTTTGCAGTAATTTTAGCTGTTTCTTCTGATATTTACCATGATGTGCCTAAACCATGTGCTTACACTGCTGTTCCTTATAGATATGATAAAAATGGTTGTTTTGAAAGATTTTATGTACTTTTATGTTTTCATCCAACTTCCCAGTGTTTATTAGCAAGTATTATCCATTAATTTGTTCATGACCACCCATTTTTCTTCCACTTTTGTTGACAGGTTTTGTTTGCTTTTGAGCCAGGTTCTGTGAAGCATCTAGCCTCAAACTAGGTCTCTTGTCACAGTGCTCAAGATGAGCTCACACACCCCCCAGTTGACTACGCAATTTTCTTCTCAATATCGTCCAATAACATATAGCTTTTCTTTTACTTTTATTTTTACATTGATATAGTAATTATACATATTAATAAGGTTCACTGTGACTGATCCATACCTGCACACAACAGCCCTCACACTTCCACCCCCCAGACCCTTCCGAATCATTATTCCACTTTCTAGTTTCTCAAGAATCCCTGGCTGGCCTCAACATTGCTTTGCAACCAAAGATGATTTTGAGATTCTGATCCTCCTGCCTGCACCTCCCACGTGCAGGCATGGACCACTATTGCCAATCTTAATGTGAGCCTGGGAATCAGAACCAAGGCTTCATGCATGCTAATTAAGCACCCGACCCACTGAGCTACTCCCCGAGCCTCCTCAGGTTGACATTTTTGGATCTCCTCTACGAGACGACGTGTCCATCCGTCTGTCTTTCTCACAGAATAATATCCTTCAGTTCCATTCTTTTTGCTGAAAGTACCAGGATTCCACTCTTCGTTGCAGCCGAATAACACTGCATTGTGTGTGGGTAGCAATTGCCATTATCCATTTAACCACTGACCGACACCAAGGCTGACTCTGTATCTCAGCTATTACGCATAGTACATTCAACCTTTAGTATTCTCACGTGTATACTTTCATGTGTTAAATCATTGAAAAGTCAAGCTTGTTGGTACAAATAGGCTTTTCTAAGATGAATGAGGTGATCTAATAAGACAGAGAAGCGAATGCATTTTAGTTGTAAACAGTTGTTCAGTTGTCGAGGGAAGGGCTTTAGGCTACATCTCTTTTATAAACTACTGCGTGGAAAAATTTCAAATCACTAAAAAATCCTTTTTGTTGCGAGGTAATTCGGGGCATAAGATCGCAGTTCTACCTTCCCATTGGAAGCTGTTTGTATTTTCCATGTGAATAAACGCTTTTGTCCACAAGGCTCAGAAACTCAGAGATCCTTTTAATTCTTTTTTTTTTTTTTTAAGATTTTATTTATGGGTATGAGCATTTTGCCTGCATGTGTGTCTGTGCACCACCAACATGCCTGGTGCCAGCGGAGGTCCAAAGAGGGTGCAGGATCCCTTAGAACTGGAGTTACAAGATGGTTGTGAACCACCAGGCGGGCGCTGAAAAGAGTAGAAAGTGTGACAACTGAGCCGTTTCACCAGGCTGCAGTCTTTCTGTTTAACACCCAGACCGCACTACAACCCCCAGACATGCAGCCTGTGGACCTCACGGTGAGTGAGCGCAGACCTGCCATGACAGAAGTGTCAGTCTTCCGGTCCTCTACGGCTCTGGGTGTCAGTCTGCGGGTTATGGAAAGGGCAGCAGGGACGAAAATGTCTGGCGGAATATTCAGACTCAGGGTACAGTACTTCTGGCAATGACTGGCTTCTTCCCAGAGCTCCACTTCATTTAGGATTATACCCTGAAGAGACCTTTACAATTAGATTCCCTCATTTCAGATTTTAAAACTCTAATGAGGACCTTTACCTATTTTATACTCTCGTCTTTAGAAGGTCCGAAGTAAAGGCCTAACCCATACCCCACATTATAGTATTCTAAATTTTTTTTAATTAGATAATATAAAATACATTTAGAAAGTAAATAAAATAAAAATTAGACAATATATGTTGATCATAGTCTCTCTCTTCTCCCAACTCCTTACCCACCAACTTCATGTTCTTTCTCTCTCTCAAAAAAAGAAAACAAAAGACAAAATCAAAACAGACATACAAACTAAAAAAGGAAAATCAATGAGATACAAACAAACAAACAAACAAACATGAGGTCTGTTTTGTGCTGGCCAGCTCCTCCTGGGCATGGAGTGTGGTTGACACACCCATTGACCCTCCACTAGAGAAAATGAGTTTTCCTTTTTCAGCAGGTATCAACTGTAAATAGCTTCTCGGTTAGTGGTGGGACTTTTGTGCACTCCTTAAAGTAATGTGCAAACAAGGCGAGCCTGCTTCACCCACCAACCTTCAACAAGACTGCACCGCACTAATAGCATTGTAAACGTCAAATGTTAAGTACAGGTCCAGTTCTTTTTTCCATCACTCTTACAAGCTAAGGAAACTCAATGGGAGGGATGGGTGAGGGTTGACAGGGTGCTCAGAGAAGCCAGATGTTTTCACATTTCTCCTCTCCCAATAAGAAGAACCGGTAAGATAAAAACTGGAAACATTCTTTTCTTTTTTCTTTTTTTCTTTTTTTATTAAGAAAGCATGCAAAAACAAAAAACAAACAAACAAAAAAACAAAAAAATAAGTTGTGAGCCCATACACCCCCTTCCCAGCCTGCACCAATGCAAAGCATTATGGGTGGTACAAAGAACTCACCAAACCAGAAACATGAGGAAAGGAAGCCTAGGATAAATGGATCAATACCAAATGATTTCTCCTTTTGTCCTTCTCCTCTGCCTTTTCCCTTATTTCCTCTTATAGGCAGTGACGCTACAATTTTGCACACATCACCCAAGACAACAACAATGACTATACTTCATGTCCAGCAACACCGGACCAACAAAATTAAGTAGTTTTCTTTCCACTTCACAGAGGGGATGGGAAACTGAGGCCCAAAGGGAGTCGGGCTTGTCCTGCGCCATTCTCAAGCCAACACCTGGTGGAGGAGAACGGGAACCTCAGGGGGCCTAAGGCCACTCTCTGGCTGCCCACAGGTCAGCTGCTCTGGCTGCCCACCAGGGAGACTGGTTCTCGAGACATGAAGGAGCCAGGGGTGTCTGACTCAGTCTCTCCGCCCCACCCTCGTGCAGATCTGACCAGAAAAGATGTTTAGAAAAGAGGAGTGGTATTCTGCTAAGGCGGCATCTTGAGAAAACCAAAGGGAAGCGGTGTAGAATATACACCCGAATGGAAGGAATAAGGAAGAGATGTCTACATGGCCACGGGGCTACCCTCTAGGGAGACACTCCCCAGTGGAAAATATTACGTCATGCTCAGCCCCTACACATACTCTCCAGTACCATCGCACACTGTAGTGGAGAACACTTTTTTTTTATACTCCCTTTTCTTTTCCTTACCAAGGCTTCAAAGAAATAAAGTGCTCTTCAGTGACCTGCCCTATCTTGCCCTTTTACTTAGCTTCATTGGACTTCAACAATCTCATACATGAACCCCCTTCAAAAGAAAGGGAAGAGGTTGATGAAGGGGAAACGAGAATGGGAAGCCCAATATCTTAGAAATCGTGGATAAATAAAAGAGTGTCACAAAAATCGGAAACCACAAAGAGATTGGCCTTGTCTAAGCTATATATTTTGTCCACTTCAGAAAATTTAGTGAAGATACAGTGGAAGTAAAATTGGTCTTCCCTCTCTTACGTCAAATTCAACAAACACACTCACTAAGAACTCTACAGCAGTAAATCATGGCTACTTAATGGAGATTGCTCATCCCTCCACCTAGGACCGCCCTGTGCCCTCACTGAACCCTGTCTCTATATTATTTCTTTCCTTCCAGTTTTCATTGCCTGTCAAAATCAGAAGCGTCAATCCCACCGATAGGGATTTCAAGAGAAGCATCTCCCTGTGAGGTGAAACATGTGACCCCTTCTCTACCCAAGTCTATCCCTTTCCTCTCCCTACCCTCCTGTCAGCAGCACTGAATCTGCTATGACAGGTAGGAAAGAGGTTTCCACAGCATATCTAGGCCATGAGGAAACTAGGAGTGAGAATGGCTTTCTTTTGTCTTTTGAGAATCCCAGACAAAGGGAGAAGAAAATGAGACAGGTGGATGATTTGGACAAACAGCTACGGGAAGACAAAATAGTATTTGCTGAAGGAGAAAAGATGATGGAAGATAATTTACATATGCAGCAATAGCCACAGTTAATTCTCAGAGAGAGTTACTTTCCCAAAGCCAAAATGCTTTAAGTTGAAACTGTTTCCAAGACACTGAACCTATGATGGACAGTGGTCCTCACACCCTACCAAACCAGCGAACCTCCTGAGAGCATCTGCGAGGGAGAAGCCAGCGACGCTCCGACCTGGCAGAGATGGCAGTGCACGCCCAACCTCATGCTGAGTTTTCCCCATCCCCTCCCCACAGCAGCCCCCTCAGCCCCTCATGAGGACCGAGAAATGCCAGGAAAAGTAAAGATTGCGTGTGTAAAGGAAGAGCTCAGAGGACACCGTTAGCACCGTTGTATAAGACTGCAAAGTCCTGGCTGCCAAGCAGTGTCTTAGACACACACACACACACACACACACACACACACACACACACACACCCCGCCTCTACTTGCTGAGGCCTCTCCAGGCCAGCCCGAAACAGACAGGGACAGAACACCATTTAGAGCTGAAAGGCGGGATTAGCACTCCGTTTCTCAGAGAGAGGGGCGAACGAGAATGTGAAACCTTTCTCTATAGCTGTCACGGCCTCGGTTTACAGCCTGAAGACTTGAAATGGGCAAAGGGAGGGCATAGCCCATGGCAAGAGGGCAGCAGCCTGGGCAGTATATAACCAATAATAATAATATAATTAGAGTAATAATGAACCAGGAGGGCAACAGCGGAGGAGGAAGAAAGGAGGATTATCCTCGGCAGCATCTTTGCGGTGGCTTCTCTGACAGAGAGAACAGAGAGAAGCTTCTATCTATGTACAGGATGGGCAGGGACGGCTCTTCACCACAGGCCTTGGGCAGACGTCCACTCTGCTCACTAAGTGATCAAGTCCCAGTCGAAGTCATCAGGAATCTCCTCACTGGCACCAGGAGGGGGCACCGGGGGCCGAGGAACCATGTGGTGTGCTGGCAAGAAGAAAGACCAGAAAAGAAACCGGATGAGAAGCAAGTCCATCAGGCCAGCTGGGGAGTCAGCGCTCTCTGCCCTAGGGACACCATGAAGGAAGCCAGAGATAGCCGGTCCAGTCAGCTGACTGTTCTGCTTTCTTTCTTTCTTTCTTTCTTTCTTTCTTTCTTTCTTTCTTTCTTTCTTTCTTTCTTTCTTCCTCTTTCTTTCTTTCTTTTTCTTTCTTTCCTTTTTTTCTCTCCTTTTTCTTTAAAGATTTTTTATTTTATGTGAGGTTTTTCTTTAATTCTTCTCTCATACATTACATCCTGACTGCAGTTTCCCCTCCTCCACCACTCCTCCCAGTCCCTCCCCCAACTCCTCTCTCCCCCAGATCAACTCCTCCTCTGTTTCCTAAAAAAAATAAAAAATAAATAAAAATGCCTAACAAGATACAATAAGACTGGCACAAACCCTCATATCAAGGTTGGATATGGCAACGCAGTAGGAAGAAAAGGACCCCAAGCACAGGCAAAAGACTCAGAGATTCCCACACACACTCAGACTGTTGGGAGTCCCACAAGAACACCTACCCACACAATCATAAGTCAGAAACAGAGGACCTAGCTCAGATACATAAAGGGTCCCTGTTTGTGGCTTTAGTCTCTGTGAGCCCCTATGAGCCCTGCTTAGTTGATTCTGTGGCTGTGTTCTCATGGCGTCCTCCTTTCCTTCAATCCGCCTAGTGTCTGGCTATGGGTCTCTGCATCTACTCCCATCAGCTGCTGGGTGACATCTCTCTGCTGACAACTGGGCTACAGCCTACAGTTCTTTCCTGATTCAGTGACCTCTCAGGAAACACACTGAAGCACATGGCGGCACAGCATTATCCTGTCATTAAACTCTATGTTCCTGGGGCTGGAGAGATGGCTCAGCAGTTAAGAACACTGACTGCTCTTCCAGAGGACTCGGGTTCCATTCCCAGCACCCACGTGGAAGATCACAACTGTCTATAATTCCAGGATCCAACACCCTCACACAGACATAAAAAAAAGTGCCAAACACCAATGCACATAAAATTAAGATAAATACTTTTAAAAACTCTATGAAAACTACCTAACTGGTAAAATAGCTTAAGAAGGTGATGTTATAGGAAACAGGGGTACACAATGTTGTATTTGCAGTGCATAGAGAAAGAGGCAGGCGTCACCCTAAAAACTGAAAGTGCCTGTGATTAGATAAGATGGTAACAGTGAATTGCCTAAACCACGTTTAAACATGGAGACTCTGTTCACCAGTACTATCTAGGGTGGTTCAGCACCCCCCTGCACTCTGCCTTCTCCACCATCAAAGACGGTTCCAGACCACGCTGAGGAAGCAACTCAGGGGCACAGTACTTGGCTAACATACAAGAGACCCTGGGTTCAACCCCAACACTGCAAAAAAAAAAAAAAAAAAAAAAAAAAAAATTTTGAGCCAAAACCCCTATTTTACTAGTCAGGAAAAAGGAAAGCAAAATTGGGTTAATTAAAAAAAAAAAAAAAGTTTATATAAAGTGTCATTTCATTTGCCTATCTTCCATCTGGACTCCAAAGGTGGCCATAAATACCCCTCACAGCTATCTTTCACTTACATTTATAATTTTACTTCTTTTCAGTATTGCAGTTACAAGGTAATTTTTTTTTTTTTAATTTTTAAAAAGTATTGCATGTGTATGTGTATTTTGCCTACACGTATATCTGTGCATCTCATTCATACAGTACCAGCAGAGGCCAGAAGAGGGCGTCAGATCCCCTGGAACTACACTTACAGACCATTGTAAACCATGCAAACTATGTGGGTGCTGGGAATCAAACTCAGGTCCTCTGGTTGCTAGTGCTCTTGACCACTGAGCCATCTCTCCAGCCCCACAAGATAATCTTAAAGCCAATTCCAAGCTAGGGGTGTAGCTCAGAGGTAAGGGCCTTGTCCAGTACGTTCCTGGTTCCACTCCCAGCACCACAAACAAAGCAAACTTAATTAAATAGAAGTGCCTTACTTAGTCTCACCTGATGTACAACTCCTGAGAGGGTAGCTCACCTCATCCTTCAATCCTTGGGAACCATAACACCTCAGCCATTCTAGCAGGTACAAACAGCAGGACAGAGAGAGGGTGCCAGGGGAAAGCAAAATAACACTGAGAGAAGAGTGTGCTTGTCTGTCAGTGAACACAATCCCCAGCTCTTACCTGGGCGATTGTACGCTGCTGAGTCCTGGGTGGGGATTGGGTACATCGGTGCTGGGCCAGGGTAGAGATGGGAGGCTTGTGGGTGTCCATAAGAGTTCACTGCCAAAGCAAAACAGAGTCACTCGGCTAGCGGACTTCTCAATTCAACAAAGGAGGAAGGGAAAACGCGTTCCCTTGTCCCTCAGTATCTGTCTCCCTTCCTGTCTTGTTTTATAGCTCCTACATGCAGAAGGCATTCTGCAAAAGTTACATGCGTCCTCAGTTAGAAGGGTGGATCCTAGAACTGTGAGATGGCAAAGCTATGAGAACCAGAAACACGATCATCAAATGTTTTCTCTGGCTTGATCCAGCTGTGATTCAGCTGATGGTTATTACTGGACTTTGGAATAAGGACTTTCCTTAAATTCCCTCCCTTTTTAAAAAGTAATTTTAATCTCTTAAACCAAGGTACAAAAGGAATCGGGTCCACTGCTTCTGCAGCTCTTCAGGGCCACCTGCAGGTCGTTACCAATTCAGTAGGTGTCCAGTTAACAAACCAGTCCCAGGACTCAGCCTGGGTCATGGCCTACAAAACTAGTTTGTGTTTCTTTTCCCTTTCCTTCACCCTTTATTTCTTGCACAGTCTCCACTTCTCTGGCAACTTGGTGTAGTACCTTGGTTCATGGATGGCTCTGGTTTGCCACTGGTGAGGGCGCAGGAGTCAGTGATGCGGGAAGGGGCAGGTGGTCGGTGGGAGGCCCCTTGTGGGGGCATGTGACCAGTCTGGGTGAGGAAGTGGTTGAGGGAGTCACACAGGTTGGCGATGTGATGCTGGTCGAGGGTCCAGTTCTTCTGCTCTGCCTGCCGTAGACTCTCCATGAGCTCTGTAAATGAGAACACCAGCCATGCCAACCCTGAGGAGCTGTCAGAGCCCCCGCCACACCTGTCCTTGGTGCACGGTTTCCTCACATCTTGTACTGCCAACATTGTGTACTATCGATCATGACTTATACCTTTTTCTTTTTTGCTTCTATAAGTATTTATTGAAATATGATAGACAACAAGTACCATTGAACATGTGCAGGGTTTGGTTGGTTGGTTGGTTGGTTGGTTGGTTGGTTGGTTGGTTGGTTGGTTGGTTTTTCGAGACAGGGTTTCTCTCTGTAGCCTTGGCTGTCCTGGACTCACTTTGTAGACCAGGCTGGCCTCGAACTCACAAAGATATGCCTGCCCCTGCCTCCCAGTGCTGGGATTACAGGAGTGCACCACTGCACCCAGCTAATGTGCAGATTTTTAGTTAGATTTTTTTTCTCTAGTACTGCTTACATTAACCTTATTCTGTACTGACAATTTTAGTATATATAAAAAAAAAAAAATTAGAAAAAACCCTACTCATTTCACTCTAGATAAGGATGTTTCTTGTTAAATTTAAAACTACTTTCTTTTTTTTCTTAAGGGGAAATCCTAAAATGACTTTCCAGAAGCCATGAGTTACACCTTTTTATAGTTCTCCCTTTCAACTTTCAATTGTATGTTCCTTGCCAAATTCTTATTTTAATTTGCATCTCATTGGTGAATAAAAATGTTCAGAGTATCCAGCACTCAGGAGGCAGAAGCAAGCAGATCTCCCTGGTCTACAAAGTAAGTCCAGAATATCCAGGGCTCTGTTACAGAGAAACCCTGTCTCAAAAAACAACACCACCAACAACAAAACCCTGTATATGAATGTGTGTGTGTGTGTGTGTGTGTGCATGTGTGTTCACTATCATCTCTCTGTCAGGAAACAAAACTACAAAACAGTGGTCCAACTCCAGTGGCTCTGAGTTCCCAAGAGCCTTTCCTCTTCCCCAAAACTAAAGTTGGCCAGCATGAAGCATTGTAATATTTGAATAATGGCAAAATTTTGTCAGGTCTGAAAATACTGATAACATACCTGTCTTGTGTAACAGACAGAGTAATAAAATTCTCAGTCCCAAACCTGCTTGGCCACCTGCATGGGCTCTAGCTCATCCCTCTCTTCCCTCCAGAAGTGGTGCTAACCTGAGAACTGGGACTGCTCGATGCTGGACCAGTTGAGCCGGTTCACCATCTTGAAGCTCTCCTTTAAGGAGTCAATGTTGGAGCACCAGTCTGAAGGAAAGGCTATGAAGAGAAAGATGGGCCGTGAGATTGGGTGTGCGAGAGCAGTCAACACGTGCAAGCTTCTCCCAGCTACCAGCTTAGCAGCCACATTACCGAGAGCTGTGGACACTCCCTAGCTGGAGAGTCAGGAAGGGCAAGGTGACCTGTCCTTTAAGCATCACCAGTTCACAGGCAAGTATGCAAAACAATCCTAATTCATCTAGGAATATGGATGGGAAACAGTGAAATCCCCAGCCTCAAAGTACAACTTCCATTGGCTGAGGTAAGGTAAGAGGGCAAGAGATTGAACAAACCTAAAAGACTGTTAACTTTTTCATCCATGGTACCTCCATGCCAGTCAGTAACCAGATCCCCCCACCTCCTTCTCCTCCTCCTCCTCCTCCTCCTCCTCCTCCTTCCTTTCTCCCCTCCTTCTCCTCCCGCTGCTCCTCTTCCTCCTCCCAGCTTTCTCTGAACTCTCCTTACTCACCAAAGCCAGTGCTGTTGATGGGTGCCTGGCCCTGTGCCTGCTGCTGGGGTGGCTGCTGGGCAGGGTGGGAGTAGGTATGGTGCTGATGAGGGTGGTAGCCCCCGTGCTGCAGCGGGGGGCCGTAGCCTTCGGCTCCGGCTTGTTTTCCCCCTGGTGTAGTACAGCCATCAGGGCTTGGGGTGTGCAGCGGAGGGGCGCCCCCTACGTTTGCGGGGCCCTGAGTGGGTGCCTGCTGCTGCTGTGGTTGTGGCTGCTGGGGTGGTGGCTGAGACTGTGGTGGCGGTGGTTGCGGCTGCTGCTGTTGCTGCTGCTGCTGCTGCTGCGGCTGCGGCTGCTGATACATGTAGTAGTTGTTAGAAGGTGGCATGTCTCCCAGGAGTGAGGAAAAGCCTGCAGGGAGAGGAGGAAGCAGGCTAGTGATCTGGGCTACACGGTTTCAAAATGACATCTTCTCTCAAGATGAGAGAGCTCAGGGCTGGAGAGAGGGCTCAGTGGCTAAGAGCACTGACTGCTCTTCCAGAGGTCCTGAGTTCACTTCCCAGCAACCACATGGTGGCTCATAACCATCTATAAGGAATCTGATTCCCTCTTCTGCTGTGCATGAAAAACAAACCATTCGTATACATAAAATAAATAAATATATCTTTAAAATTAAAAAAAAAAAAGATGAGAGAGCTAGGGCAAAAGAGTTGACAGGGTTGACAGGATATGAGCATGTTCTGTGACCATAAGGACCCCGTGTCCCTCCTAAGAGATAACAGATCGGAAAAAGCAGTTAGATTAGGGGAAGGCTATGACCCACTGGTGACCTCGGAAATATTAATAAAAATTTAAAAAACCTCCCTGGTGATATTTCGTGCTACTTTTAGGGGATTCGGATGTAGAGCTGGAATCAGTTCCAAAGGAACTTACATAGCCGGTGAAACTTAAAAATTGAATTAAAACTAAAGCAAAGCTATTGAGCAAGCATGCTTAGTTCCTCCTGGTTGTCTCCACAGTCCTCCACTGTTCTGCCTTTCTGTGTTCCTCACCAGGAAACGCAGCCCGGGTGGGAAGCAGCATACGGAGGAATTAATCTCTCAAGCCACCCAGGCGAGGAAGAGCTAACTCGAAGGAGTGCCCAGCCTGCAGCTCCCAGGCCCCACGCGGCTCGGGACAGCTATGAATACAGCCAACACGAAACTGTAAACTTGCAACCACTAAACCATCTCTCCAGGTCATTAAGTAACTTAATCACACAGCTCCCATGTGTGAACTTTGAAGGTGACATGCTGTAATGTCAAAATGTTGGACAAGCCTAGAGCTGGCTATCAGTCAGAAACTTGAGTAAATGTTCACAACCCTGACCTCACCCCATCCAGTCTAATTTCTTTGTTTCTGGCAGTCTCTCCAGGGTCCCTACCTCCAATCAATCAACAATCTGAGCATTCATCTCTCAAGCAAATGCCAGGGACACACTCTAGATATTGATCCCTTAGTTATGAAAAGAGGAAATTAATCGGCCATCAGAGGCCAGTGCCTAAACTCAGCATACTTGGGAGGCTAAGGTAGGAAGAACAACAGTTCGAAGCCATGCCAGACCCAGCACTCAGGAGGCAGATCTCTGTGAGGTGGAGGCTAGCCTGATCTACAGAGACTTTGTTATGAAGAAAACAGAAGGGAGAGCCTGGAATAGGAAAGGAGAATGGTGGAGGCCTGGGGGGAGAAGGGAACAGACAGAAAAAGAGAGGAGAAACTCATGACAGACCATATCAGGTTCTTTTTTTTTTTTTTAGACAAGGTTTCTCTGTGTAGCCTTGGCTGTCCTGGACTTACTTTGTAGATCAGGCTAGCCTCAAACTCATAGAGCTCTGTCTGCCTCTGTCTCTGCCCTGTCTGGGATTAAAGGCATTCACCACCATGCCTAGCCAAATCAGGTTCTTAAAGGGATCAGCCAACGCTCCCATTTTCTCTCAGTTGGGATGACAGAACTCAGAGAGCGAATGTGACTGAGGCGCTGTGTCCCTCATCACTCTGGGTAGCCCACGCTGCCCACAATGAACCACCAAAAAGATACATGGCCTGACAGTTCACTTGAACTCTCGGCTCCACCACAACTTCTACCTTCTTTTTTAAGAATACCTGAACTGGGGCTGAGAGATGGCTCTGTTGGGTGAAGTGCTTGCTGTGCAGTTGTGAGAACCAGTGTTTGCATCCCATGTAAATGTGGAGTGGGTATGCAGCCCACTGCAATCCAGTGCTCAGGGCAGACAAGGGGGCTCCAGAGCACGGTGACTAGCTGGACTTGCCAACCGGTGAGCCCTGGGTCCGAGTGGCCTGCTTCAGTACATGAGGTAGAGGGCAGCTGAAGAAAACACTTGCTATCAACCTCAGGCCTCCACAGGCCTACATAGTTACACATTCACACAGACACACAGGCAGTCAGAAAGACACACACACCCCCGCAGAACATGCAAAAATGTGTGCATATGTGTGAAACTGTGTGCATGTGTGTGTGTCTGTGTGTGTGTGTGTGTGTGTGTGTGTGTGTGTGTGTGTGCCCACAAGTGCAAGCATGCATATGTGTGCTGTCTCTGTGGTTAGTTTTTGGTCGGTCAACTTAATACAGCTAGGGTCATCTGGAGAGAAGGAACCGCAATTGCCCAGCTGAGAAAACGCTTCCATCACACTGGGCTGCAGGCGCGTCTGTGGGCCATTTTCTTGACTAATGAGCGATCTGGGAAGGCTTGGATCACTGTGAGCAGTGCCAGGCCTGGGCTGGTGGTTAAGAAAGCAGGCGGTAAGCAGCATTCCCCCATGGCCTCTGCGTCAGTCTGGCCTCCCTCTCCTCTCGAGGATTCTGTCTGTCACGGTCTTCACCACAAGAGAAGGGCAGAATACTATACAGATATAACCGTGGCAGAGGGCAGAGCCACCATCTCGCGGGATGCCGCCCAATAAGGACAGGATAAGCCATTCTCGGTAACTGTGGAAGCTTGCAAACAGGCAAGATACCAACTGCTGCTGAGGAGGTACTGCTTATTAATTGTGTTAGGAGTGGTAACGGTGGGGTAGAGCGCCCAGGGCGAGGTCCTCACGCTCAGTGATGCATACTGAACCTGTATTTATAGAGAAGGATTCGCTGCCTGGGAAATTCACTCAACTATTTCCACTTCAAAACAAGCTCAGTGGCAAGTCAAATAAGCCTAACAAAATAAAGTTAAGTGATGGAAGTCAGGGGCTTGCTATTTACCCATTCTGCTTTGGTATCTTTTCAAAATCTTTTACAATAAAAATTAACAAATAAAAAATACACTGGCTTTAGGGCTGGAGAAATGGCTCAGCGGTTAAGAGCACTGAATATTCTTCCAGAGGACCTGGGTTCAATTCCTAGTACCTGCATAGCAGTTCTGTCTGTAACTCCAAGATCTGACACTCTTACATAGACATACATTAGGCAAAACACCAACACACATAAAATAGAATAAAAATAAATAAATCATTTAAAAAAAGGCAACAAAACATTAGCTTTAATCCCAGCACTCAGGGTGACCTCCCTGAGTTCAAGGCCAGCCTGGTCTACTTAGTGAGGTTTAGGACATAATGCTACATAGCAAGACCCTGTATCAAAGAAAAAAATAAAAACCCTGTCTCAAAAACCCAAAAACCAATAAATTAGAGCACTAGGATGCAGGTGAGGATTGGCTGGCGGCCTCAGTCGCAGCTCAGTGCCCGCTCAGGTTACACTAAGGCCCGGTTCCATCCCCAGCAGGTAAACCAGGTGTCTTAGAGCAATCCCAGCACCCCAGAGGCGAGAGAAGGACCGGAAGTTCACCCTTGGCTATGCAGCAAGTCCAAGGCCAGCCTGGGATGTCTGCACCTCTGTCTCAGTCTAACCTACTACCTAACTGAAAAAGAAAAATAAGTTGTTCTTATAAGGCCTAAGGATTCCGGGGAGAGGATACCACTACCGCCCCCTAGTGGTCATGCTCTGAATGCCTTGCTCACAGCCGCAAAATCACTACCCCTGGACTAGAGGTGTCTCACGGTGGTAGAGCACTCACCTAACGCGCGCGCGCACACACACACACGCACACGCACACGCACACACCCTGCATCAGATCCCCAGGACTGGGGTACGGGGTGTTGAGTGGGCCCCTGAATCAACTGTCTGGCACCAAACAGTTTAGTCCCTGTGCTTCCTCTCACCAGTGACCAGTGTCAAACAGGAAAACAGGAAACGGGGGCAAGATGACATATTCAGGTGAATGCATTTGCTGCAAACCCAGTGCAAGTCTGATCCCCGGGGCCTGTGTGCTGGAGGAGGGGGACTGACTCTCACAAGGTGTCCTCTCCCCCCACACTTCGCCATGCCATGTGCGGCACCCCGAGAGCGCACACACACACTCTCACACTCACACATGCACAAACACACACACACACAAAACACACATGCATGCACATACACACACACTCACACACACACACACACACACCACAAACATATACACATAGACACACACGTGTTCACACTCACTTGCACGCACACACACATGCACACGCTAAAATGTAATTTCAAAAAACCGAAAGGACAGAAAACAGGGAGAGAAAGAAAGGAACCATCAGGACGGCCCCGCCTGGCCTGCCGCACACTCACCGTGCTGTGAGGTGGACCTCTCCAGCATGGACTTGTAGAGGTTGCGGAAGGACCAGCTTAGGTCCTGAAAGTTGATCTCTGAGTAGGAGAACTTGAAGTCATGGTTGGTGTTGTAGAGGGGAGGCCCGCCGTCTGCACTGTCCCGGCCCGGCGCCCCTGCTGCTGCCGCTCCACCATCCACGGGCCCCGGGCCCTGCCAACGGGACAGAAAGATGACCCACCAGAGGCCACCAGGCTCAGGCCTATCCTGGTCACCCTCTCCAGCTGGCCAGTGACATGGCCTCACATGCTCCTCCTCCTCCTGTTGCCTCGTGTCTTGAGTCTGACCTCTTTCCTATCGCTCGCCACTTCCCCTCTGCCAGCCCTTCCCTAGTGCACCTCCATGCCTTTCTGTCCCTCCTTCCTTCCGGCTGGGCTTCCCTCTTTTGCTTTTCCTCCTTTCCCAGGCTCCCTGACTGGTGTATTATGGGGCCTTAAATGTAATTGTGACAAGAGCGGTATCAGAACCTCAGAGCCATCCATCTATGCACTCACCCATCACCTCGGCCTCCTACCTGGCTGTAGCTGGCCATGGAGGAGGGGCTCTGCAGTGGCATCTGAGGGTTCCCCTCATGAGACAGGGAGGCTTCTCCACCCCCAGGAACACCTCCCCGGGGGCTTTTGCTGGCCTCCTGTTCCGGGGAGTCTTGGGATAGCTGAGAAGAGTGAAAGAAGAGAAAGCTATATGCAGCGGTGAAACACTCACCCACCCAAGACCCATGCTTTTGCCTCCCCACTGCAGGTCTGAACCCACATTTACCACAGAAATGACTGAAATCCAAGGCAGGGGTCTCCCAAAGAACAAAGAACTTACGTCATCATCAGGAGGGTGTCTTCTCTTCCGGGAAATGTCGGGGCAGGTATCAATTGTCCAATAGGAGCCCTGGAAAGAGACCCCAACCCCGAGAAGAAAAGCTTTGCGTACAGAAGTTCCTGTGGGACAGAGGTCTCTTACAGCAGCCTTGCTGAGAATGGCGCAGGGCTGGGGAATGAAATTCAGTGGTAGAGTGCTTGCCCAGCATGGACAATGCCTTGTCCAGATTCCCCAGCACAGAACAGAAGAGAGGAAGCAGGAAGTGAGAACAATCAGAAGAAGAAAAAAAGGAAAGAAGAGAAGCAGACAGAATCCCAAGGGAGCTGAGCACCAGTGAGGAGTAAATCTGTCCTCAAAGGTCAGTGGGCAGTCTGAACCCCAGCTTCAAATGTTCCCAAGGAGCAAAAGGACAAAGGTAATCCTGTCAGAGAGCTGCAAAAGGCCAGAAAGCCCTTTCCTTTCCCCTATGACCTGAGGCAAAAGTGCCTTGGGTATTAGCAACTCCCAAATGGGACTCCCACCCCCACCCCGCCCTTCTCCCTTTGGAAGCATAGTGAAGCTTCCCAAAGGCTAGGAAGAAACTGGGTATGTTGGCACACACCAGTGATCTAGTACCCAGGGGGAGACTAAGGCAGGAGGGTGGCAAGTTTAAGGCCAGCCTAGCCTGTCTCAAAAAAAAAAAAAAAAAGTGGTTTAGCCAACATTTTACATGTAGGAACAAGTACCACTCCAAACAAAGAAGCCTTGCCAGCCTGGGCTACATGAGTGAGTCTCTCTCTCTCTCTCTCTCTCTCTCTCTCTCTCTCTCTCTCTCAAATAAATAAATAAATAAAGTAATAAAGTAAAAGAGGCTGGACATAGTGGTACATTCCTATGTTGTTTGTTTGGTTTTTGGTTTTTAAGACAGAGTCTGTCTATAAGGGCCTGGCTGTCCTGGAACTCTGTAGACCATGTTGGACCTCATACTCACAGACATCCACCTGTCTCTGCCTCCTGACTGCTGGGATTAAAGATGTGTAATACTATGCCCATCTTGGTACACACCTTTAATCCCACCAATTGAATCTCTTGAATTAGGACTAGTCTGGTCTTCATATTAAGTTCCAGGCCAGCCAGGTCTACATAGTGAGACTTTGTCTCAAAACACAGAAAGGAAGGAAGAAAGGAAAGAAGGAAGGAAGGAAGAAAGATGGGAGAGAGAGGGAGGGAAGAAAGGAGGGGGAGAGGAAGGAAGAAAGGAAGGAGATGGAGAACCTTAAAGACAACTCTGTTATAAACACTCTTATTAAAACATAAAGATGTCATAGTCTTTCTTAGTCACCCATTCTAGTGAGAACCCAGAAGCTTGGCAACCATGCGCTTCCTTTGAGGAAAAGGATGCTTTTAAAGTGAACATGCTTTCCTCTCCCAGTAATTAGAACAGCCATGGGACTCTGAGTATCAACCTCTTCACTCTCCTTCCATTTCCCTTTAATTCCCATAGCAGCATCTCACCTTCCCGGGGTCATCCCGAGGTCTGGGCACCTTCCGGAAACACTTGTTAAGAGAAAGGTTGTGTCGAATGGAATTCTGGGGAAGCAAAGAAGCAAGTTAGGTCTGAGCATTGGGCAAACCTCCGTATTTCCCAAAGGGACACAGAACAACATGTGCCCAGGGTACATTCAGCACCTCGTCACTGTAAACTGGAGCCCTGCACAGAAAGCAGAGGATGAGAGGAGCAGATCACCAAGGATAACTGGTTAGAGGTGACGGTGACCAGGTGCTTCCGAAAGTTAATTTTACAGGTTTTCAGCCTTCCTACCAAATTGACAACAAGTATATAAATGCCTCAAGCCAGGAGGATCTGAGTTCGAGGCTAGCCTGGTGATAGACAGAGGCACACGCTAAGGCCCTGTCTCAAAAAACAAGCAACAATAACAGCCAGACATGGTGCCCTACACTTGTAAGCCTGGCACTTCGGAGACACAAGCAGAAGAGTGGCCACAAGTTAGAAGCCAGCCTGGTCTACAGTCACAGTGAGTTCTGGGGTAGCCAGGACTGCATGAGAAGACAGGGTATGCATGTATTCACACTTGCGCCCCCCTCCTCAATTCACTGTGAAAAGCAAAAGAACAGTATCTTTAGACTGTTTATATACACGAGAACCAGACAAAAACCATGAGTATTCTGTGGGGAGACGGCTCAGTGAGCAAAGCTCACAACAGTGAGGACTGAGCTGAATCCCCAGAACCCACACAAAGCCAGGAGCAGTGAAAAAAAAAAAAAAAAAAAAAAAAGCCAGGCGTAGTACATGTTAGTAATCCCAGCTCTCAGAAGGAAGAGGCCAAGGAGTCTCTCTGAGGTTGAGCCTACTCTCGTTTACACAGTGAGTTCCAGGAGAACCAGCGCTACTGCACCTGGGTGGGGGCAGGGGGGGACTGCTGACGAGCTCATGAGATGATCCAAGGGCAAAGTGCTGAGCACACACCCTGGGGGCCCTGAGCTTGGGCCCTGAAACCCACACACAATGGAAGGAAGAGAATCAGCTCTACAAACTTACCCTCTGACTTCCACAAGCACATCCACAGCACACACACACAATAATAATAATAATAATAATAATAAATTGTAAGTAGGAGCTGGGGAGACTGTTCAGTGGATAAAGAGTTTGGCACCTGAGCGTGAGGACCTAAGTTCAAGGCTCCAGACTCCACCTTAGCCAGGTGTGGCCGGACACACCTCTAATCCCAGGGCTTCTAGGATTAGATATGAGGTGGGCACATAAGAATCCTTGGAAAAATCACACTAGCCAATCTGGCAAAATGCAGTAATAATGAGGGACCCTGCCTCAAGCAAGGAGGAAGATGAGCACCCCAGGCTGGCCTGTACCTCGATAGTCACATGTGGTATGCATGTATACACACTTGCACACACATCCCAAACACACACACACACACACACACACACACACACACACACACGCCAATAAACACCTCAAAGTCATATCTACCCCATTCCTCAATTCCCTATGAAAAGCAAAAGGGCAGTATTTTTATACTGTTTATACACATTATAACCAGACCAAAAGCATGAGCAGTCTATGGGGAGCTGGCTCACAAGTGTGAGGACCCACACAAAGCCAGGAGCAGGTGTTCTGTGATACCTGTTACACACTGGGAACACTACGGCAAACGGGAGGCGGAGACAGGACAGGGCCCAGAAGCTCACGGCCAATTGGCCGGCCATACACAGTGGTGACAGCAAAGAGACCCTGTCTCAAACAAGGTAGAAGGCACGGGCCAGCACCCAAGGTTGTCTTCTGATCTCCACGTGTACAGCGACACACAACATTATGGCACTTTTGCACCCTCACCAACACACAAGCACATACAGGCAAAGACTAAAACAAACAAACCAACCAACCTCAGGGGAGGAACAAGAGCACAGATGACCTTCACTTTCTCCCTGACACTCAGAATGGCCCCATCCGGGAACGGAAAAGCTGTAGTGCCTGTGTGCCGGTGTGTGGAGAGCCGCAGCCTATCGGGCGCATTGACCACGGGAAGACTGACCGGAAGCCTCACTTCATCATCTAGTTTGTAACTCAACTGGTGATTTAGAGAGAACGATATTTACCCCATTCCTACTCAAAAGTTGGAGACTGCTGCTCCAAATGCCTAGCTTGGTAGCACTCGTCTGTCATCGAAAGCATGGCGGGGGAGGGGGGCAGAGGTTGTCAAGACAGAAGAATCAGTAGTTCAAGGTCAGCTTCAGCTATTCATGAGTTCCAGGCTAGGCCAGCCTGAACCACAGGAGACACTGTGACAAGATAAATAAACAAATCTTTGCGGTTTTTTTTTTTTTTTTTTCTTTTTCTTGGTTGGGGAGGGTCTCACTATGTAGCTCTGGCTGGACTGGAACTTGGTATGTAAACCAGGCTGGCCTTGAACTCACAGTCCCACCTGTCTATGCTTCCGAAGTGCTGGGGTTAAAGGTGTGTATCACTACACCTGGCTGAAAATATACAGATAGTTTAATATCAACCCTCTCTCTTCTCTTGAAAGAGGATTTCCATTGTCTCTGCCTAACAGCCTCCTTACTCACTTAGTGAGCCAGCTTTTGGTAAAGAACCTAATTAATCTTTTTTTTATCTTAGTATACAAAGTTTCAAAAGATGAAGACTATCTGCAAGGAAGCTATAGAAATTTGATGAGTTTCCTACCAAAGTAGGAGTCACCCTTGCTCAATGACTTGAACACAGCAGCGGGGTAGGAAAGACATGCAAAGACTGCCCTTAGAGGGGAATCGAACAGTAAGAGGGTGTGGTAACCAGCAGCATCCTGCCATCCCATAACTACATTTAATGGCTTGGCATCACCAGTGCTTCCGTGATACAGCTTATGAAGCCGATTACTTCTAAAGTAAATACAAATAGGGGTACAGATAAGAGATCTTGAGTTTACATATCCCTGAGACAAGTCAGAGACAAACAGCCCAGGTTATAGGAAAAAACGAAAGGAGAGGAGAAGGTTGCTAAGGGCTAGGTACTCCGAGCCCAGGTCCTAGAAGCAGCCTCACCTTCCAGCCGATGCCCGCATTCTTGTAATAGGGGAAGTTATCGCAGATCCAGCGGTAGATCTCACTGAGAGTCATCTTCTTGGCTGGGGAAGAGTTGATGGCATAGGTGATGAGGGTGGCGTAGCTGTACCGTGGCTTGCCGTCTTGGTGGACCGCCGCCTCATCCTTGCTGAGGGTGGCATTAGGATCTGTGGGGGAGCCCGGAGAGCACTTCCGACTGCCCCCTGGAGGCCCAGCCTGCGAAGCATTCCCCAGCTTCTCAATGGTAGCACGGAGAGTCAGCTGTGGCAGCCAGTCTATGGAGGTGAGGCTGCTCTCCAGGTCGGAGGCCATGGCACTTCCGGGTTCTGGGGCGAAGAAGAAAGCAGGGAGACAAGCAGATGATTCCCTGTTTACTGGGGCAAGAGCGGCTCCATTTCTAATGTACACGGCAAGCAGTCTCTTCCCAATTCAGTTCCACTGGAGACCCCTCTCCTGAGATGACCCATGACCCCATGTGCAAATGCCACCAACCACCGATCATTTCTAGGCTATGCAGTGCTTCTTTTTGTTTTGTTTTATTTTGTTTTAAGACAGGCTGTCCCGGAACTCCCTCTGTACACCAGGCTGGCCTCGGACTCAGAGACCCGCCTGCCTCTGCATCCCGAACGCTGTGATTAAAGACCTGCACCACCACCACCTTGACAATAGAGTGCTTCGTACTCCACAGCTTACTAAGAGCATGACCATGGGGCCTCTCCCTCCACGCAGGATCGGATATCAAACCCACAAACACTGAACTGTGCAATGTTCCTTACAGCCCCACCACACAATATTTTTAAACTCTATATAAAAATAAGAAAAAAAAAAAGTCAGCGCTATTTAGACAGCAGGTAAGATTAGCTGACGTCTGGTCTCCAATTACATGACACTTGTATGTTTATATATAGCATCCACAAGTTCATAGCCATCGCACACAGAGAGCCAGTCCGAGCAAACGCAAGGATGCAGGCTCTAGCACTCATCGACATGCCACACACGTGTCTCATGTAAGGCAGATTACACATACCCCAGTGCAGGTTCTAACAACTCAGCTGGGTCTGTAATCTCAGCTGCTCCAGAGACTGAGGCAGCAGGATCACAAGTTCAAGACCTGCCTGGACCATACAGTGAGTTCACAGGCGACCTGGGCAATTGAGTGAGACCCTGTCTCACAATAAAAAGTTTTTTAAAAAAAAAAGTGGGGGCGAGAGATGGCTCAGCAGTTTAGAGCACTTGCTGCAACCGCATGGTGGCTCACAACCATCTATCTCTACCCTCCAATTCCAGGCAATCCAACACCCTCTTCTGGCCTCCCGGCCTCCTAGAGCATGAGGCATGCGTGCGCGCATACATACACATACACACACACACACACACACACACACACACACACACACACAGGCATTACACTCATACATATTAAAAGAAATTAAAAAGCAAAGGAGCGGGGGGCTACAGGTGTACTCTACCGTGTAGAGTACTTGCCTGAGATTCCGGGTTCACTCTCCAGCACCACAATAAACAAACAAACAACCAAATGTTGACAGCCGGCCGCAGCGAGGTACAAGACTGACACATGGTCAGTGGCGCACACATAGACATCACAGCACACGCCCGGCATACGTTACCAACGGAGCACAAGGTCACGCAGAAAAACAAACAGATTCTGAGTACGCAGCTGCCCTCACACCTTTAAAGCTCCCGCTTGCAGGCTCCGGCCCACAGACACCAGCACCAGGAAGGAGTCATCAACAAGGCCCTCCCACCTCCCAGGCCTGGCCGGCTTCACCGAGCCAGGGAGACACCCAGCTGTGTGCACACCGGTAACAATCAGATAGCCTGGCTAAAAATAGCCTCCGTGGGGCTAGGAGCCGGCTCCCCTTCCCCCGCCCTTCTCCTCCCTCCTTCCTCCGCAGCCAGGCACGCAGGCTGGCTGCACCTCCATGCAAACTCCTGGAGCTGCCCACGCCTGAGGTTCGCCGGCCCCGCCGCCAACCAAACCGCCCAGGCTTTCACCACCAGGGACGTGCAGCTAGTGACATGTTGGTGGAGGAAGGTGAAAAATGGAGGATAGTGTCTGTGTTGCAGTCGGGCGGGGGAGGGGGGCTGTGTAGAGGCGCTCACAGGAACCCCGACTTGGCTCTTCGGCAGTTCCTCGGAGCTGAAGCCAGCAAGCTCCTGAGCACCCGCTGTCTAACAGGTTTGTGCCTGCACGGCCGGCCGCCAGATTCCAACTAGCATTTCTTGCTCAAGCCTACCAGGACAGTGCTCTGCACGAACCAAGGCTACTCCCCGGGAACTTAGAATGCTGGTGAAAGCCCTGTTCTGCAGATGTCTCTCTCAGCCCACAACCAAAGGGCGCACAACCAGACGCAGACACACACTCGGCAGGCCCAAACTGTCTCAAACAGGGCCCCTACCCTCTATCTTAATCCCTGAATGCAACGTACCTTTCAGGATCTCTCTTTTTTTTTTTTTTTTTTTCATCCTAAACTGTAGCTTCGCCAGGGACAGCTGCCCTTTCCTCTACACGCCAGAATTCTCATACACTCCTCTCCTAACCAGGCCCCACCCTTGAAGTCAACCTGTGCTCACTCATACCTGGCCCAGCGTTCCCAACCAGCAACACATCTAGTCCACAAAGCAGAAGGGACCATCTTCCGTGCCTCAAGGGTCTCAAGGGTCTCGGCAGCTAGAGCCCTAACTACACCCCAAGAGTTGTTTGGGCAAAGGGGCCATAACACTGGTAACTGGCCCCGAAAAGTCTCCACATTTGGCCTTAGCTCTCTCACCAGCTGTCCCTTTCGTCCAAATATCACCACCTTGTCCCAACCATGCACATGGAAACTTGGAAAACAATGGGAACACGTCACCATTCCAGGAAACCACACACCTTCTAGCCTTTTGCTGTTTCAAAACACCCCGGCCTCTGGACTGCAGCAGGGAGCTTGGGCAGTGGCGGAGCCATAGCTGGGTTCTCGAAGATAGCAGTCACATACCAACAAGCAAGTTCTAAAGGAGCAGGTTCATCCCCAGAAAAAGATCTGGAAAGATGTGTTACTCTGCTACCTGGTCAGTCAGCCACTGCCCTCCTCACTCAACTCTGTGTGTGTGTGTGTGTGTGTGTGTGTGTGTGTGTGTGTGTGTGTGTGACAGACAGAGAGAGTGTGTGTGTGAGAGAGAGAGAAAGAGAGACAGACAGAATGTGTGGTGTGTGTGTGTGTATGTGTGTGTGTTTTGAGTCTATGTTGTTGATGCTGGTCTCAAACTCCTGGGCTCCAGCAATCCTCCTGCATCAGCTGGCTGGGTCTATTTAGGCATCAGTCCCTAACCCCTATTATCTCCTGCTAAGGAATCCTGGAAATCTCATCTTTAAAGCTAGAATTTCAGTTATTTCCTCTGAAATGCTCTTGACCCTGACCTGGAGCGTGAGGGTAGATTCGAAGTGTGTAGAGGCCTTAAACAGCACATTTGACACCAGCCAACCACAGGGAATTCCTGAAAGGGAAACACTCCCCACCTCTTGCTGGCTGTCCTGCACCCCTGCCTTCCTTGTCCCGCACAGGACACTGAGGTAGGACACTAACTTTTCCCCACTAGCTCCTCCCCCCAAGGCAGTCCTCCAAATGCAAACCTCAGTGCTCAGAATACATTCCAGCATAAACTCTACAAAGCTCACAGGGCCTGGCCCTCCGGTCTCCCAGCACTCAGCTCTTCAGCCTAGACCACTTCCTTACCCCCTCACTTCCCCATTTGGGAAGGGCAGCGGAGATTGACGGAGCTTCCTCCGTCCTATCCCCAACCCCAACACTGACTCACCAAGTGCCCCTAGCCATTCCTCGCTCCCTGACAAAGTCTTGATGCCTCAGTTTCCCACTCCAGTAAAAGAGATGAAGTCATAACCCCTACCAAAGCTTCATCCCTGGAGGGCCAGGAATGAAGCTAATGAGCTCGTAGCTGCCACACATTCCACACTCCCCGAAATAATGGCACAGGGCTAACGTCCAGGGCTATTATTAGAAAAGCAAACAAGAGGTAGTTCCATTTCTCAGGCCAGCCAACCTAGTTACCCAGACCTCTCTCTCCAGGTGGGCCTCGTGCCACTGGCCTGGGCAGAACCTGAGTCAGGCCGCATTCTTCTCTGCATGCTGGAAGACCGAAAGGAAATACACAGAATCTGGGAAAGGCAGCCAAAGGGCAGACTCCATCACATCCACGGGACAGCTAATGGAGACGACAGTGCCGGGGAAAGGCAGAAAACAAAACAGAAAGCCTTCCTGGGGAACGAACTGCCAATGTGGTAGGACCTGTAAGCGCCACAAGAGCCTGCACTATCTGCTGCCCATTTTCCCCAGCCAGCTAGTAACTGTTCTCCACATGGTACCCACGTCAGGTATCCAGGAGTGATAACTTCCTGAGCTGCACATCATGCCAAAACTAACAGGGCAGTGGCGGAATGTATCTCGTGATCAGTCAGGCTGCCTGGGTTTCAACCCAGCTCTGACAGACAAGTCATTTAGTGTCTCTGTATCTTAATTCCTATCTCTGTAAAACAAAATAGAAATTCTAAGAAGTGGGGTATGGTGACTGGAGCTTGTACTCCCAGCACTCTGGGAGGTTTAAGGAGGGGGGGCTGCCATAAGTTCCAGCCAGCCTGAGCTGCCTAAATAGTAAACTCAAGGCCAGCCAATGACTACATAGTGAGACACCGTCACACACACAAAAGACAATCTAAAAAGCTCCTTCCCCCCCACCCCCAGACAGCATTTCTCGGTGTATAGCCCTGGCTGTCCTGGAACTGGATTTGTAGACAAGGCTGGCCTTGAACTCACAGAGCTCCCCTGCCTGTGCCTCCCAAGTGCTGGGATTAAAGGCATGAACTCTTTTTTTTCTTTCTTTCTTTTTTTTTTTTTTTTTTTTTTTTGAGACAGGGTTTCTCCATATCCTGGAACTCCCTGGCCTAGAACTCAGAGATGCACCTGACTCTGCCTCCGAGTGCTGGGATTAAAGGTGTGTGCCACCGGCTTAAAATTCCTTTAAATAAAGGTTAACTGTTCCTACAAGACTTGTTGTGAGGACTGTCTAATATTTCTTAGTAATCGAGGGATGGCTCAGCAGTTAGGGGTACTAGCTGCTCTTCCCGAAGTCCTGAGTTCAATTCCAGCACCCACATGGTGGCTCACACTCCATCTATAACTACAGTCCCATGGCATCTGACGCCCTCCTTTGGTGTGCGTAGAGGAAGAGAACATATATAAAATACTGTGATAAATAATAAAAAGAAAAGAGGCAGCATTAGAAGCAGCAAACACACTGTGATCTCGTCACAAAGTCTGAAGCAAATGTAGGCCGTCAGAATTTCAAAGGTTTCCTTTGAGTCCATCAGCCCAGTTCTGATTAATGGAAGATTGGGAAACCTCCAAGGTGGAGGGAAGAGGAGAAATATCATCATCTGTCTCTCAAAGGGATTTAGGTGCAGTCATAAGATACAGTCTGTAAAACTGTATGCTCCAAATCACGGCTGATCCAGCCACCCCCACATTGACAAGAGAATTACGGCTCTTGTCCCAGCAGAGCCAGCCGAATGAGTGCTCCTGAGTAGTCCACCTGGAGCAGCTCCACCACAGTCTACTCTGTGACACTCGGAAGTTTCATGCTCCATCTGGTAAAGCACTTTATAAGAAACAGGCCACTACTAAGGCAGAGACATCTTTCAAAAGTGGGAGAGGCAGTTCTAGACAAGCATGTAAAGGAACCTCATCGTTTTTTAAGACTAGGGGTATCTGTGATGAAGCTTTCCTACCAGTCCTGGAAGGAACAGGACCAACCTGAGAGAGGGCTGCCATGCTGTGTGGGATGATTGCCAAGAGGGGGTCATGAGAACGCCCCTTGGGAGAATTCCCCATGGGGGGGGCCGAGGATGGAAGGCTAAGCTTTTCTCCGAACTGTTCATCCGCATCCTCAACTCTTCTAGGTCTGGCAGGGAGTCTCCTATTTCTACAGGCCTGCCAGAAATGATTCTAAGGGAGCAGAGTACAGCCTAAAAACACCAGCCTAAAAACTCCTCTGTGTACATGCTCAAAACACAGACACCGAGCCACGGTCATTTCCACTGAGAAACGTGGACATCATTCTACAGTACAGCCAGCGAGCCTGTAGACACACACTGTCAGCACAGATACTTTCCTGGATTAAGTGAACCGACAGAAACTTGGGCCATCCAACCCACGGCCCATGCAGGGAGGCAGACACTGAAAACCCAAGGGCTTCAAGAAGCCCCAAACAGAAGACGAGGCAAGGTCCAACCACCAGACAGGAGAGCAGGTCCCTAGCTAGTGACCTCGGGTGAAAAGTCAGAGCTCTGCTACAGACAGGCTCAACCAGGAAGACTTCTGAGTACCTTTTCTCCTGCTTTCCCTAAAGATTCCCGATTTTGATGGTTCCCTAAGGTAGGAAGAAAAATTTCCCTGGTGGTCAGCTCATGGAAGCGTGGAAGGAAGCTAGGAAACCCCTTCCTCTCTTCCTGGCTACAATCTGATTTTTCCCAAGGAACTGCCAGCAAACAAGACTTTTTGGAAGACTTCAGCCCACCAGTGAGCATTACCCTAGAGAGTTTCTTCTTACTTTGGGACATGTGGGTTCACATTTCCCTTTGGCTTTTATACAGAGAAGCAGGTATCCAGCGTGGAGCAGGGTGTCAGAAGGACCTCCTGGTATCCGAGACAGAGTGGGTAGGGACAGGTGGCCGGCCAGGCAAGCGGCGATTGTAACAGACTGGAAAGGAGACCTCTCCTGAACATGAAGCTAACTTAGGCATGGTCCATCCACCAGAGAACAAGACCCCCCCCCAAAAAAAATGCACCTGTTGTCTGTTCTCAGTAGATAGCACCCACTTCTCTAGGGCCTGCAAATGACCCATCCCTTTTCAGTCTCCAAAATCTAAAAAGCCCCCATCTCAGAGTTTCTGAAGCAACATGTGGGTTCAGAAGCCATTTCCCAGGGGACTGGGTTATCACTACCTTCCCTAGGAATGAACCCCACGTCGCACCATTTCCGCTCCCCATACCTACTGGCGCCTACAGACTACAGAATAGAAAGCACTAACCTGTCTCCAAGGTTCCCCCGGTCACCGGAGGAAACCACCTGCGACAGAAGTTTGAAGTTGCAGGGATTCCCCTCTTCAGAGGCGAGTGACAGGTCGCATCCTCAGTGCCTCTTCCAGTGCCTGGCGGAGCCTCCCAAGCTGGAGCGGGGAACGGAGTCCCCTGAGGAAGAGGAGTCGAAGGAGGAGGAGGGGGAGAGGGAGGACCTACCTGGGGAAGCTGGCACACCCCCCACACCCTGCCTGCTACCCTAGGGAGGAGGGGAGGAGCCTCTCCCAACCAGGAGCTGTCTCCTCCCCCTTGGGGGAATCCCCTTCTCCCCCAAAGTAGATCCTTCAGGGGCCGAGGGCTCTTTCTGTCCGCTGGAGATGCGAGCGCAGGGGCTCTGCCCGGGTCCACTGTCTAGGTGCACGCAAGTTGAGGGGCGAGGTCTTCCACCGATTCCCGACGGCTCCCCGGAGGGTCCTGGCTTGTGCGTGTCAGGACGCCTCTCCGCGGCGAGTCCTGGGTGGGATGCGGGGTGCCTCTTCCACCGGCACGGTTCGAAAGTCTCGAACTGTCTGGAGTGCGCTGAAGCGTGAGGGCGGTCTCCCTGCGGGTCCTCCGGGTCCCGGCACCCTTGCCGACTTCTGGGGGTCTCCTCCAGAGCCGGCGTGGGTGGGACAGCCGCGTACCCCGCGGCGATCTCCCCTGGCTGTCCCGGGAGCAGGGAGGGTCCTCCCTCCCACGGGAGGGGGGCAGGTCCCGGCGCCGGGTGCCCCGAGGGTGGGGTCCTCGCACTCCCGCTCCCCGCCCGGCCGGCCTGGGCAGCAGGGTCCCGGAGGCCGCGGTCCCGGTTCCCGTCCCCCGCTGCCGGGCGGCAGCGCCTCCGCAGTCGCGTTCCCCGTCCGCCGCGCTTCCCCGCGCGTGGGGCTCCCCCGCGCTGCCACCTCCGAGGCTCCGGCCGGTCGGGGCTCCCGGGAGCCGGCAGGCGGACGGAGCGCGTCGGGGCTCGGCTCGGCTCGGCTCCGCTGCAGGCCCCGGCTCCTCCCCGGCCTCGGCGCCGCGCTCCGCGCCCCTCCCCCTCCCGCCGCCGCGGCCGCCGCCTCCCGGCGCGGGTTAAGGAGGAGCGCGGGGCCCCGCTGGCCGCCGCTCGCCGGCCCCCCCGGCCCGGGCACTTGGCGGTGCCAGCGTCCAGGCTAGCCGCCACGCGGACCTCTCATTGTGCCGGGGTCTCCGCCTAGGCTGGCGTTCCCGGCTTTCTCAGGAACGTGTTTGATGGCTTCTCTCTCTCTCTTTTCCAGGCGGCTTGTAAAGGGTTCTGGGGACGGGCGTGAAGTTAAAAGTTTACTCTTAACCCTGGAGGTCAGTGAAAGCTTGGATCAGGGGATGTATAAAGAGGTGGATGAGCTTGTTACAGAGAAATGAGTATCGGGAGATGGAGCCTTGTGTTGGTTCAGGCTCTGCAAACGGTGTGCAAGGCCCCAGTTTCTGGAGTCACAGTCACCTCGAAGAGGGGACTCGGATACGCTGGCCTGCCTACTAATATGGATGTCGCAGTCACCAAAGGAAATGACTTGTGTGGAGATGGTTTGTTTTTTATTTTTTTAACACCGTGCAGTATACAAAAGGTGGAAAGTATGACTATTCATTTCCCTTGACGTGCCTATAAAATATCATTTTTTTTTTTTTACCTTTGTGCTAAAATCAAGTGACATTCCTATAGAACATTTTATCCCGAGTGCCACAGGGGGATAGAACGTTCTCTCAGCACGCCCTCTGCTCCTTACAGAATAATCTCCACGCAGGGACAGGAAATATCAGCAGGGTAACCCACATCTTACCCCTCCAGTCACGCTATTCCGGTACAAACTCTCAGTATGTCACTCTCTGGCTTACTACTCTCCGGTCGTGTTCTTAGGCGAAATGATAAGGCAAATGAAACTGTTCATTTGCTATCTGAATTGCTCAGAAAAGATTACATCTTGATAACTACCTTTAGACAGTAATGCCATTTGTCTGCTGGCTACTACAATTTACTTAAGTTCTATGTACGTGTAATTACATTACGCATACAATGTGCCGGCATTAAGCTTTCACGCTCTCCTTGTGTTATCACATTTGATTCTTCAAGCAATTCCATGCAGCACTATCACGCCTTTTAGAGCGTAACTACGGCTTGAAGATATTGTTTGTGTCCGATTCGCATTATTCACACCGTTACATAATTAATAATATTAAGTCAGGTGTTAAATCCAAATGGCCTCAGAACCGGGTTCTAAACCTCTAGTGTATCATTGGCTTGACCTGGGAAAACATAAGTCAAATTGCCAGGCAGTGAAGCCCAACAAAGCTGCTTCCTTCCCTCCACTTCCAGTGCCCAGGTTTAAAGTTGCATTTCCTCCAGCCTGGTGGTACCGGCTTTTAATCACAAAGGAGGATCCTGAGTTCAAGGCCAACTAGACTACATTGTGAAAAGAAAAAGAGGGGGGTAGGGTTACAGCTCAGTTAGTAGAGTGCTTGGCTTGCAAGCACAAGGCCCTGGGTTCCACTGTTAGCACCACAAAAGGGAAAACCCTATATAATGGCAAATACTTTATAGTCCCAACACTGGGGAAGAGGAACTAGGAAAATCAGGAGTTCAGGTCCAGCCTGCTCTACATAATGAGTTGGGGGAGGGGGACATCGTTATAAGACAGGTCTCGTGTAGCCCAGGCTAGCCCACGCTAACTATGAAGCAAAGGATGGCTTTAAACTTCTGAACCTGGGCCGTTGGCTCACAGTTCAGGGCACCTGTGCTTCCAGAGGACCCAGGTTCTGTTCCCAGCACCCACGTGGGAGCTCACAACCATCTGTGACAGTCCCAGGGAAACCAATACCCTCTTCTGACCTGCACAAGTAGAGGGCACACACGTGGTGCATATACATACATTCAGGCAAAACATTCATACACATAAATAAATAAATAAAAATTGAACCTTCTGGCCTCCTGTCTCCACCTGTGCAAGTCCTGGGCTACAGAGCTGTGCACACAGGTGCTCTGCCTCAAGCACTGGGATTAAAGGCTTGGACCACCATGTCCAGCTATAGCATCGTTTAAATATTTTGAAATGAGGATGATAGCTCTAGCCATCGTTTCTCTATGTCTCTGCTTGAATAAGAAAATTACATTTCAGGAACTGGAAAAATGGTTCCGCCGTTAAGAACATTTCCCTTGAAGAGGACCTGGGTTTGCTTTCCAGCACCCACACAGTAGCTCACAACCCTCTGGAACTCCAGTTCCAGGAGCTCCAACACCTCCTCTTCTCTCCTCAGGCCCCTATGTGGTAGTAGTGCACATACACACACTCAGGCACACACGCATACACATAAAAACGTTTAAATTAAATTAAAACAGTCTGTCTAACATAATCAAACAGGAGCTTTTTAAAAACATTTGCCTGAACAAAGATGGCACTAATAGACACGCTATCAGAAAGGGCGAAGCTCACAAGGCCTCAACCCTAGACAAAGGACCTTAAGCAACTAAGGGACGCTGGGAGCAGGAGAAATAGTCTTCCCCAAGGGAAGAGCACAGTGATTGGTCATTCAGCCTGGGAAACATGTACATTTGAGGAACATTATATGACTGAAGCAGGCTGTTTTTAGGAATATATATATATATATATATATATATATATATATATATATCGCATAATTTTAAAAGAGATGGAGAAAGGTTGCACATGGAAGCCATAGAAGGGAGAAAGAGAAAAATTGTGTAATTATATAATCTCAAAAAAATGTTTAATGTTTGATGTTTATACATACATATACACACACACACGGATAGATATACACTAAATGATTTACTTTTTTCCTTTAGTCTTTTTGTGACAGGGTTTCTCTGTTAAATAGCCCTGGCTGTCCTGGATTCACTCTGTTAGACGAGGCTGGCCTGGAATTCACAGAGATCTTCCTGCTTCTGCCTCCCCAGTGCTGGGATTACAGGCATGTGCCACCATGCCCGGCTAATTTAAGTATTTTAATTTTTTTTTTTCAGTTCTGCTGTTATCTATAGTTAGTGTTTATGTGGGTTTTGCTTATGTAATCATTTGTAGTTTGGGAGCCAGTAAGAAGGCTCTGCCATTAAAGGCGCTTGCCAATAAGCTTGCTGATCAGAATTGATTCCTGGAACCCTTATGATAGAAGAAGAGAGCCAACTCCCGCAGATTGTCCTCTGACCTCCGCACAAGTGAGCCATTCGCATTGGCTCACTATAACAGGAGGTACTTGCTGGAGAGATGGCTCAGAGGTTAAGAGCTTTCAATTCCCAGCAACCACACAGTGGCTCACAACCATCTATGAGATCTGGTGCCCTCTCCTGGTGTGCAGGCACACATGCAGGCAGAACACTGTATACATAATAAACGAAATAAATAAGTCTTTTTTAAAAAGATTTTAGTTTTGTTTTTTTAATTTGATGTATGTGTGTTGTTGGTCTGTGTACTTGTGTCTACAGCTGTTCCCAGGGTCCAGAAGACTGCTGGAGTTACAGGTGTTTGTGAGCATCCTTGGAAGCTGTGAAGTAAACGTGGGTCCTCTGGAAGAACAGAACTTTCTCATAACAACAGAGCCATCTCTCCAGGCCCTGCAATTCTTCATATATAATTAGTATGTCCCAGACACAATTTAGAAGCCTTTTCTTTTTCTTCTTTTTGAAAGGAGGTTTCATGTGGCCTAAACTGGCCTTGAATTCATTGTATAGCAGAGGATGACTCTGAACTCCAGATCAAATGGTCCTTTTTAAAGCCATGCATGGAACATGGTAAAAAAGGGTTGTATACTCACACATCAGTGTTGAAACTTCATAACTGAGTATTCATCACTGCCTTTATAACTGCTTTTTGATTCAGTTTCCTCATCAGAAAAATTGGGATAATAACACTTGTTTCATAGTTCTCAGAAGGCTTGCATGACTCCATGTATGTAATGCCCTTAGATAGGAGGAACGGACTAGAGTGTAAAGGAGCTTAAAAGACCCATCAACCAACTGCAACAATATGGACCAGGAGACACGTCCATGACCTTTAGGGGAACCCTGGCTGAAACAGAACTGTTGGAAAAGTACCGTGAGACAAATGATAGAGTTTCGATATTGAACAGATGCAATCGAGAATTCAAATCTCTTTTTGAGTCTCACTGTGTAGCCCTGGCTGGCATCTGCCTGCCTCTGCCTCCCAAATGCAGTCAGTAGAGAGATGTGTGCCACCACATGCCGCTTAGCATCAAGATTTCTTACATTTCAGGTGTGTTAAGCGGGCCAGATGCGGTAGCACATACCGAAACCCCAGCCCTCAGGAGTCCAGGGGGAGGACTGGGAGTTTAAGATTGTCCTCAGTTATGTAGGTGGTGAAGGTGAGACCTGCCTGTCTTAAAAAGAAAAACAAACCCTAGATTTATTTAAAAAAAACAACAACAACAACAAAACACAAAATTATGGGGCTGGAGAGATGGCTCAGTGATTCAGAGCACCTGCTTTTCCAGAGGACCTGAGCGCTAGTCCCAGTACCCATGCTGGACAACCTGGTAGTCTAGCTCCAGGGGATCCGACACTTACGGTCGCCTGCACTCACATGCTACACATCCACACACAAACACACACACACACATATGCATCATTTAACCAACAGCATTTATTTCAACAACATATAATATAAAATAAAATAGGTCTTAAAAATAAGTAATGGGGTGCTGGAGAGATGGCTCAGTGGTTAAGAGCACTGTCTGCTCGTTCTTAGAGGTCCTGGGTTCAAGTCCAGGCAACCACACGGCTGGCTCACAAACATCTATCATGTGATCTGATGCCCTCTTCCGGTGTGCAGGTGTACATGCAAATACAGCACTCATGTATAAATAAATAAATCTAAAAAAAAGGGGGGGGGCTGGAGAGATGGCTCAGAGGTTAAGAGCACTGGCTGTTCTTCCAAAGGTCCCGAGTTCAATTCCCAGCACCTGGTGGCTCAAAACCATCTATAG